GCGGCGCCCCTCCCCCCGCCGGCCTTCCGCGGGAAGGTGACCTCTCGAGGAAGCCTCGGCCGGAGGGCCCGGAGAACCACCCTCACCCCGACCCGCCGCCGCACCCCTCGTCCCCCCCTCGCTAGCAGGAATTTCCTGACGCCCCTTCCTCTTTCCCCATTTCCTCCCGAGTGTGGAGAGAAGCCCCTGCCTCTCTTTAGTTTTCACGCCCCTCTGTCGAGAAGACCCACGTAACCCCGTACTGTCTCACAGTCCAGGAAAAGAATGGTCACACGCAAAGGTCGGGGTGCTGGGGCCCATCCGGGTGCTCCGTGGAGCCCACCTGATGTCCCTACTTCGTGACAGTAGGCTTTCCTCCCCTCCCCCACACTTCCGAGTGAGCTGAGCTTTGGTTTGATCCCGGTGGATTTAGGGAGGGTTTAAGGCGTGTCATTACCCCACTTTATACTTTTTGGGAAAATGGTTTCACATATGCTGTGACACGGGCAGTGTGGGCCTACCCCTTCCCAAACCTTTGGAAAGAGCTCCTGCCAACCTTGCAAACACACTTTGTCCTGGTGAAATGGGGCGTTGGAGCACAGCAGGTGGTTTTCTGGAACTCCTGACTTGCCCACCCAACTCGCTTCGCAGAGCCACCATGGGGACCTGTCGCCACCCCTCCCTTAAGTGTCCCTAAGCCAGAGACCCCTGGAGAGAGGCAGAAGGAAGGAATGGGACTGGGGGACTTGCTGCTACCGGGAGTACCTCAGACCCTGGCACAAAGGCCTTGGCTCCAGGCCTCCAAAGGGGGGAGGGGGAGGAGTGGCTGCCTGGCCACAGTGTGACCTTCAGAGGCCCCTAGAGAAGGGCACCTGGCCCCTCCCTGCCCATTGCTGCCCCTCCCAGTACCCCCTGGCCTTGGAGGGGGGTTCTAAGTTTCTGTTGCCTTTCTCCATTGGGGCTCAGGAGGATTGGAGGACATAGGGAGATAGCTGGCATAGGGAAACCAGGGGGGCTGTCCTGGGAATGTGTGAGGGGCTGGGGTGGAGTCTTGGGGAGGGGGGTGTTCCTTGAGGAAACCCCTGCAGTGAGACTGCCCTGCTAGGAGCTGGAAACTGTTACCTGACCTTGGCCTTGGGGGCAAGGCTGGGGGATCAGGGTGTGGGAAAGAGATGGACAGACTGGGACTCCCTCTCAGCAGGGTCCCTGTTGTGTGTGCTGGCCTGCAACACTGCTGGTCAGGGCTGCCCCCAAAGAGGGAGTTGGTAAGAACCGGACAGCCCTTGAAGTACTGGGAGAAGCCTCTGCCTGCCCAGTGCTGTCAGGTCCACATGGTTGGGCTTGTTGACCTTCACAGTTTCTGGGGAGGGGAGGAATGCACTTGTGGGGGAGGGGAGAGATGGGGAAGGCCTCAGGCCTAGGTAGTTCAGGGGGCCCCCTAGAGGCTGGGTAGAATGAAACCTTAAAAGACTTCCCTGGTGAGACTTGGGACCCTCTTGCCCAGGGGGAGAGAAGAAAGCAGGGGGATAATGTATGAGGCTGGAAGCTTTGGAAATAACATTCAGGTGCTGAGGAGATTTGGGCAGGGGGAGAAATGGGGCCTTCCCCTCCCCCACTCTTTTCCCTCCTTTTTTTACCCACTAGGCAACCTGTGGGTTGGCTGAATATTCCTGTGGACGAGTTTGAGTGGGGGAGGGTGGTTGGTGCCCTTCGGTCCTCTGCGCGCCCCCCCCTCCCCAGCACCAGCTCACCCTGGTATTTGTCATGTCAGCAGGAGAAGGTCACCATGTTTTTTTTTTCTCGCCCCCAGTCCTTCCTTCCTGCCCCAGTCCAAATTTGTCCTCCTATTTGACCTTATTACTTACCGATGGCGTGGAATAGGGAGTGGGGGGCTGAGAGGATTCACTTTTCTTAGCTTAGCAGTGGCCAGTGTGAACAAGGAAAGAGACGTGTGGGGAAGGGGCCGGGACCTGGACAGTACAGCAGTCTGTACTGGAGTTTGGAGAACCGTACACCAATATCTGGTTAGTCTTTTCTTCCTTGGCTTCAGACTTGGAGCATTCCAGGGGGTAGTGGGCTTGCTCTATGCTGCGGGGAGCCCCTGCCTGTGCCCTGTTCCGAGGGAAGCCTTGGAGCAGCCAGAGGCTGCTGGCCGGGAGGAACCACGAAGGAAGGAGGGGCGGCGTGGCTGGGTCTTTGCATCCCTGCTCAAGCCCATGCCCTGCTCTTTGTTTTATCCTCAGTGGTCCCAGGCTGCACCTATGACAGAAGGAGGAGACCATAAATCCCATGAAGGTGAGTTCTCCTGGCTCTTGGATGGGGCCCCCTGAGTCCCCAGGGAATGGGTGGGGAGACCCTATCGATTCTTTCCAAATCAAGAGGGGATGGATACAGGTACATGGGGTTCAAGAAAGGGAGAGGTGAGCACCATGAAATTAACCCTTCTATTCTGAGGTGCTTCTGCGAGAAATAGGACTTGCCGCCTTTTTTTCGTCTGCACTTTCTAGTAAAATTTTATGTAGACAGGGAAGCGTGAATATAAAACAGTCAGTGTTTGAGGATCCCAGATGCTGGGGAGGTATCCCTTGTCTCCACTATTCCCAGGGGAGGATAGATATCCCATGTCACTTCCAACTCGGCCCTGTCCCGTTGTAGTTGGGGGCCTGCGATCCTTGCTTTCCAGAGAGCTGACTGCATGAGCTGGGGGTGCAGAGGGCCCAGCCTATGGGATCCCCTCTCTCAGTTTTCATTCCTTCTGAATTGGAGAGAGAGAACCCTCCATCCTCCCTACTCCTGCAGGTTTCATTTGCCATGTACTTCCCCTGTGGAGCCAGCAGAGGGCTTAGCTCCTAGGTGCCCCGCCCCCGGCCCTGCCTTTTGTTCCACGGTGGGTTGGAATACCAGATCCTCACATTTCTAGGGACGCCCTGGCTCTCCTCACCTCTGAAAGTGGCTTATGCTCCAGGGAGGAGAGCTTGCTGCCAGTTCCCCAGCTTTCCCACTATGAGGAAGGCAGGCCCTGGGGTCTTCCTCCAGGCCCGTTTCCCTGACCCAGATCTCATGTGGCCCAGGTTATAGGCCAGTGGGGTGATGATGTCCAGCTGCTTCTGCCTTCTTCCCCACCAGGAGTCTTGTCCAGGACTTGGCTTCCCAGCCACTGACAGTGCTCCTTCTCCCCCACCCCCCAGCACACTCGCCCCTTCAGCTTCCCAGTGGTCACTGTGGTCTCCAGTAAGCAAGACAAATGGTCTTTGTTTGCTGGAGAAAAGATTGTCTTGGAGAAATAAGGAAAACCAAGAGAGCTTGACGTTGGTGGGTGTCGTGTGTCCATGCCTGTGCAAAAGCAGGGCCGCCTTCCTCGGAATCAGCGCCCAGGACGGGAAGGGTGCAGGTGAAGTAGCCCCTTCCACCTCCCATGGGCCTTGCGGAGGCCAGGGAGCCAGCTGGGTCTCCTTACCCTCTGCTCCCAGTGACCATGACCCAGGTCTGGGCCCTCCAAAGCCTGGCCATCTCTGTCTCCAGCCACAGCAAACTAGCAGGTCAAGAATCCTTGATTGTCATCTTCAGGACAGACTTGACTTAAAAAGGGACTTCTTTGGGTCCCTGGTCTCAGGTATTCTATTTGAAGATGTTTAACGTACCTTACCCCTTTTAGGGAGAGGAGAATTTTGTGCCGTGGTCTGGATAGGGCACAAGGAGACAAGAAAGGTCAGGGACTGGGCTGGGGATCCCACTATTTTCCCACTGTGACCTTCCTCCTCAGTTCCCGCAATTCTCCATAACCCACATATTGTATACACACCCGCCTTTGGTCTCCGTGCGGGAGAAGCGATGGGAGGTTCAGCTACAGTGTCCCTGGAGAGGCAGGCCTTGGGTATGCACTTTACACGGTTGGTGAGGTTCCAAACTTCGCGTTACCTGGGCTGAGAAAAGGGCACTTGTTCTTGGGGCCAGGAGAACGGAAGACAAATCCTCAGTATTAGCCTCTGCTTCGGTGTCCTGAGCATCTAGCCCAGCCCACTTATTGACAAGCGCAGTCGGATGCCCAGAGAGGAAGATTCTGGCCCAACGTCACACCAAATCCCAGCCAGAACCCAGACCTCAGCTACACCTGGCTATTGCTGCTTCTTTCCAGTGTAGGGAAACTTGTGTCAGCAACAGGACTGCTCAGTGGTAGTGGAGGGGGGGAGTGTGTGTGATAGGGAGTGGCAGACTAGGCCACAATTTGGAGTAGTCACTCTGGAGTCCTGAGTTTATTTATTCTCAAGGCCCCGCCTCTATGGCCCAGAATTACCCCTTCATGCTCCAGTGCACCCCAGGCTCCAAGGCAGCCTGGCAAGCTGTCTTTACCCTGGTCTCCCTCCAGATCAGCTTCTAGAAATGCTGCATGGTTGTGGCAGCACCATTTTTTCCATGATGCAAGCAGTTTGCCCTCTTGGGCGGGGTCATCAGTGGCTGGCAGGTCCTGCACAGTGCCCGCCCACTGCCACCTGCTGATTCCAGGCAGGCCCAGCCCCACTGCCACCACTGTCACTGCCACCATCTCCTCTGCCCAGGGCCAGGAGAGGTCCCCGCAGGTGGCAGGGCCCCTGAAGCTTCTCTGATTCCTCACACTCTCCATTTGAGCAGGCTTTGATGGCAGAACTGATTTGAATGCTACCACTTACTTCATTGTGTCTTGAGGCACAGTAACTTGCCTCTTTGAGCCTCCAGGTCCTCAGTTGCAGAGGGGGGTCCTAACAGAACATCATTGACTTTCACAGTCCCACATGGGGAGAACTGTGGAGACGATAACGATGGGCTACAGTGCCCCCTGCCCTGCATCCGCTACAAGATCCTGAAATGGTCGCAGTGGCTGTGGGGAGGTTGTAGGGTGATGGGAAGTCGTTTGGCCAAGCTGGCTGTTTCTCTTTCCATGGGCAGCGCAGAGCGTTCCCAACAGGCATACTCACACTCCAGCTGTCCTCTGGCGTCAAGGTCGACCCAGGAATCGGCTTGGCTGTCATGGTGAGGCAGGGGGATCAGATGTGGCAGGCCATCTCTCTGGGAACCTGATAATAGCATGTGATCTTTGGAACAAAAACAGACCTTCATTAGTGTTGATGGTAGGAAGCTTCGGGAAGGACTTCAGCTGCACCTGGAGGGACTTAAGTTCGATTTTTAGAAGGACTTAACAGGCAGAGGGTGCTTCTCACAGACCCTGAGGCGTGGCCTTACAAAGCAGGCTGGGGACAGGGACTACCCGTCTTCTGTGTGACCTGCTGGGCTCATGTGTCACCCCTTCCATGCAGTGGTGAAGTTCATGGATGTCTATCAGCGTAGCTACTGCCGTCCAATTGAGACCCTGGTGGACATCTTCCAGGAGTACCCCGATGAGATCGAGTACATCTTCAAGCCCTCTTGCGTGCCCCTGATGCGGTGTGGAGGCTGCTGCAATGATGAGGGCCTAGAGTGTGTGCCCACTGAGGAGTTCAACATCACCATGCAGGTGAGCCCCTGTGGAGAGTGGGGGCTGGGAGGCACTGGGGGTACTAGACTTGGGGACACCTGGTTCCTGGCCTTTTTCTAGGCAGTTCTTGTGAGAAGGAGCCCGACTCGCCTTGCCCAGCTCCTACCTGGAATTGATCAGGGGGAGGCCTGGGGGTTTTGCTTTCTTTGGGAAAATGGTGTCTGCATTTCCCAGACCAGGTTCCCAGCAAGCCCTGACCACCTCCTCCCTGATCTTGGGCCTGGGCTCAGGAGAGTTTGACCTCTGGGCCAGGAGCCACTCTCTTTCTCTCCTGGAGGAAGAGAGCCCTCCCTCCCTGAGGCTCTGTTCTGGAAGTGGATAAGCCTGGTCTGTGGAGAGTTTAAAGAGCCAGTCTTTTGGTGTCACCTGGCGACGGGGTACATCTCAGCCTGGACAGAGTGGGGGGGGGGCGCTGAGACTCCAGGAAGGGGTCGCTACCAGGGGTCAGGGTAAGGCCTAGAGGTGCTGAAAGGAAGGGTGGGATGGGGAGTGACAAGAACCCAGGACCTGAATTCCCAGCCTGGCCAGCCCTTGCAGCCATGTCTGCCCTCAAGAGGAGCAGGGGCTCCCTGAGGTCAGCAGGGTGGGGGAGTATGGGTGGGCCCGAGGCTCTGTCTAGCTAGAGCCCCTGGCCCCCCCTATCTCCACCACCTACCCCGCTCTGGACCCCCTGGGCACTGAGTGGCATGAGCCAGAGGGGTGTCCCATTTGGGTATGGCTGGCTGGGTCACTAACCACTGTCATCTGCTTCCTTTCCTTCCAGATTATGCGGATCAAACCTCACCAAAGTCAGCACATAGGAGAGATGAGCTTCCTACAGCACAACAAATGTGAATGCAGGTGAGGACTCAGCCGGCTGCACATGGCCGTGGGTACCTGTGCCAGGGTGGAGCACGGGGCATGCGTGAACCCCTTTCCACCTTCTCACTGTGTGGCCTTGGCCCTTTGAATTTTGCTTCAAAGTGCCTCATTTTCCACATCTTCAAAATGGGTGTGGTAGTAGTGTAGACCTCGTAGCTTCGCAGTAAGGACTAAGTGAGCTATTACATGTAAAGAGATCAGAACTATGGGTATGTCACAAACGCTGTGTTAAGTGTTGTGTCATCGTTGTTACTGTCATCACTTCAACCCTTCTCTTTTTTTCTCTTTTTCTGCCTTTTGCAGACCAAAGAAAGAAAAAGCAAGGCAAGAAAAGTAAGTGGTCGTGACTTCAGTTCTTCTTTTTCTTCTTGGCCGGTTGACTTGGTTTGGGGCTCATGGCTTCTTCTGTCAGGGAGTTGGTCTCAGGGGGGGCTTGTGGCAATGGTGGGCTAGAACAAACGCCAGAATCATGGCCACAGAATTAGTGACGAGCCAGCCTGGAGCTTCCTTTGGAAGAGATGATGAGTTCCAGGTCTCCAGGTCATTCCAGGCTGGCACTGGCAGTTTGGTGTTGTGGGGGCCAGTGTGGACTCTGGAGCCCTGGCTTGCTCAAGCCTCCCATCACCCACAGTGGGGAGAGGACAAGCGTGACTGAGGCCAGCTCTGGGTGTCAGAGGAAACAGCCTCTTCCGGTGGCTGCTGCGGTGGTGCAGTGGGTCTGGGACTGCCCGGGCTGTCTCTGTGGTGCACGACCTCCTGCAGGAGCTGAGACACAGCCCTCGGCTGGGCAGAAAGTGTTGACTGTCGGTCATTCTCTGAGGTTCTAGTTGCTTAGCATGGTGGATAAGGGCTGGAGGGCACCATCTGGGGGCAATGAGCCTTCCAGACAGGTGAGCAGCTGGCATGCTTACAGGGAAGCAGAGACTGAGAGAGAGTACCTGTGTCCTCCCCTCCCCCACCACCCTATCTGCCCTCACGCTCTGGAGACATTGAAACCTCAACCTTGAGCCCTAACCCTTTGTCTCTTTCCTCAGTCCCCAACTTGCAGGGCTGCTGTGGCTACCAGGGCAGTGATTTGGGAGAGCAGCCTGAAAGAGAGGGGCGGTGGGGGTGGAGGGGGGCGGGAGGCGTGTGTGGGTGCGTGCCTGTGTGTGTAGACCTTCCTGTTTTCAGTGCTTTCTCCTGACAGGGAATAAGCTTGCCCCCTCCAGGTCCCTTCCCCCTCATTGGTGCTGCCTGCATGGTGGACTTTCTGAGGGACATTCTCTTGGGCCTGGCAGGAAAGGAAAGCACTGGTTCCCTTGAGGACGACAGGCTGAAGCCTGCCCCCCCTGCCTATTCCTCACATGCCTGCTTTGCCCACAGGAAGAACGGGGGGCTCGCCTGGGCTCGGAAGAGTCTCAGGAGATGGTGTAGCAGGCTTTGACAGGCTGGGAAGAGAACTCCCTGCCAAGTGCCGCCCAGGTCCCTCCTTCCCATGCCTCCCTAACTCCCACCCCACCCCACTGCCTGCCTGGGGCTCTGAGGACACCCAGCTCCGCCTCTCAGGCTATGGCTGAGCTGCCTGGTGCCTTTCATGTGCCGGCCTTGGTTTTGTGCCAACTGGCAATGTGGCTGTTCCCTCCCCCCGCCCCCCCCCCAAGGATTCACAGCAGCGGGGCTTCCAGAGGAACCCCCAACCCCCTTGCTGCCATGCTTGGAAATGGCGGCAGAATGCCCTGTAACAGTGTTCCCCCCCCACCCCCCGTCAGGTCTCTGACCTCCCCAAATTCTCATTTCCCTTTTATAGCCCCCTGACCTTCAGGGTCAGAGAGGACCAGGGTGGCGGGGGACCAAGAGCCTGCCCTCAGGCCTTTGTCCTCCGGCCTGGAACAGTGAGCATGGAGGCCTCTGGGGCTTGAGCTCCGCAGCCAGAGCCTTTCCGAGCACTGGCCACAGTGAGAAGGGGCCACTGCGTGTCCACTGCCCCAACCCGTGTGTGTGCTGCCTGTGAGCCCGTGCGAGCTCTCCTGGGTCCTGCCTGCCTCACCGTCACCTGTTCCAGGGCGCGTGTCCTGAACCCTGCCCCCTCCTCACTGCTTCTTTGCCTTTCCCTGCCCCTCGCTCTCTCTCTCTGTCTGTCTCTGTTTTTTATTTTCCAGAAAATCAATTCGAGGAAAGGGAAAGGGGCAAAAAAGAAAGCGCAAGAAATCCCGGTATAAATCCTGGAGCGTGTACGTGGTGCCCGCTGCTGTCTGGTTCCCTGGAGCCTCCCTGGCCCCCAGTCAGACTCCTGCCTGCAGGACCCTGTAACCCTGCCTTCCTCCCTTCTCCCCCCTCCCCCCCGCCCCCCCAGCCCTCCCTCCTCTCCGGTCCCAGTGTCTCTCTCTCACTCTCACTCCACTAATTGGCACCGAAGGGTAGATTTGGTGGTGGTGGTGCCGGTTGGGGTTGGACTTGGGTGGCCCAGAGTGGGCCTGAAGGATTGGGACGGGGGACTCTTGCTTGGCTGGGCACCGCCTTTCTCTCACCCACTGGCAGGCCCACGTTGCCACTGGTGCTGGGCCCTGGTGCCTGCTCACCCAACTGGTTTCCACTGCTCTAGGCTTCTGCACTCGTCTGGGTAGTGGTGGGAAGTAGTGGGAGTGGGCAGGTATGGCTCGGGGAAGGGGCTCCAGTGATGTGAGGCAGCTTGCAGTCAGTAGGAGGAATGGGGTGGGGCCAGGCACCGCACGGCAGCTCCTGGTGAACTCAGGAGGGGAGCCCCCTATTCCGGCCCAACCCACAGAAGCTTCCTGTAGGGCAGCTTCTCTCTCTGGACTGGAGGCTGGGTGGACGCAGCCCCAGTTGTGGCCTGGCCTGTGGACGTTGTCTGTGGGCTTATCCTGTGGCCTGGCCTGTGGACGTTGTCTGTGGGCTTATGGCTGTCGTACCCTGGGGCCATCTATGGCGGAGGGCCAGGGTGCGAGGTCAGACACCGGGAGAAGGTGGGCCCTTGTGACCTCGGTGCCCCCGGGCCCCACCCCCTTGGTCTCTGCAGCAGTGAAGAGTCCAGGTGTGCCCTTTCGGGGGTGGTAGCTGTCGGACCCCTGTGGCCCGAGACCTGCAGTTGGTCCATCACGGCAGCGCTCTGCTCGCATGCCCTGCCCGTCTGTGCCCGCCTCTTCCGGCGGGCAGGCTTCTAGCCAGCGCTGCCTCTTTCTGCCGCTCTCTCTGTCTTCTGCTCTAGCACTTGGACCCTTCCAGGGCGTGGAAGGGTTGGGGGCCAGTGAGCTGGGTGGGAGCGCAGCCTTGGACATGTTAGGGGGTGTTGCATGGGTTTTTTTTCTCTCTCTCTGCTGACGCTCTAGCTTAGATGTCTTTCCTTTTGCCTTTTTGCAGTCCCTGTGGGCCTTGCTCAGAGCGGAGAAAGCATTTGTTTGTACAAGATCCGCAGACGTGTAAATGTTCCTGCAAAAACACAGACTCGCGTTGCAAGGCGAGGCAGCTTGAGTTAAACGAACGTACTTGCAGGTTGGTTCCCAGAGGGCGAGCGAGTCAGAGAGGGACTCCACACAGACACGGGGAGAGAGAGAGGGAGAGAGAGAGAGGAAGAGAGACCACCGAGGGGCCAGCTGCTTGCTCGGCTTCTAGCTGCCTGCCTGGGGACTACTGCCTTCTCTGTGGCTAGGCCCCAGCGGTGGGGGCAGGCGCCGGCCCAGCCTGGTGGGGCCCGCCCAGAGGCTGCCTGGCTGCCTGAATGGGTAGGTTGGTGTGACGTCATGTGGTGGTGTGGACGCAAGCTGAGTGTTGTGTCCTGTGGTCCTGCTCGTGGTGGCTTTTGGTCCTGATGTTGTCAGTGCTACCTTTGCTACTAATACTGAGGGCCCTTCCCAAGGCGTGGGGCGTTGCTGTCTACAAAATGCAAAAGGGAGCCTCGCCACCACCCTCTGAAGTCTGCCCTGCTGGGCTTCTTGTCCCCTCAGTGTCTCTCCATGGGGGTGGGGCTGGAGGAAGGGTTAAGTCCTCCTCAGACTAGGGTCCCAAGGGCATGGGCTCTGGCTGTTGGTTTAGGGTGCAGCGAGTGTCCACTGGCAGGAGATTCGACATTTTGAGGACTCAACGTCGTCCCGGGTGACAACCCCAGACTCCCCATAGTGCCCATAGGATGAGTGGGGGGAGGCAGTGCCCACTCTCTTGACACTAGACCATGAACCCCTTCACTAAGGCCTGGCTTTGCTTTACCGATGTGAGCCCCAGTGTCTGTACTTCTGTCCCTGTCCACAGTGGGAAACGCCACGTGCACGACTGAGCTCAGGGGGTGACTTGAGGAACACAGGACGCTGATAGTCAGTCGGCAGCAAACTTTTTGCGCCTCGGTTGGCACTTATGCCAGTCCAGCCTGTGCCCAGACAGGCAGGTGCCAGTGCCAGGGCGAGCGTCCTCCAGGGAGGATGGGCTTATATAGGGCCCCAGACAGGGCCTCAGTGCCCCCAGTTAGTCCAGAGGCTCCATTAACAAAGTCACTGGAGTGTGGCTTCCTCCCCCCGTCCGCTGTGGGTGTTCAGGGAATGCTGAGGAGTAGGCCCTGGGGTGTTGGGGTGGGGCTTGGTCTGTCTTGGTGGTCCACAAAGACAGGAAGTGCGTTCTAGTGTTAGGGTCGGGGGCTCTGCCTATCTCCAGACCTGGATGAAGGGTCTCTCCCTCCACCCTGGGGAGGGGGTCTGGGGAAGATGAAGGGACTTGCTATTTTAGGGTTTCCATGGTGATCATGCTGCAGAGACTGTGTGGGATGGGGGATGTCTGAAGTGACCTGAGCTAACTGAAGTAACTCCAATTTCCAGAGACCTTCCCTGACCTGACTGTATGGGGAAATTTTAGTTTCCCATTTTGAGAGCAGCAGCGCCTGCTCTCACTCCTCCTCACAATGGTATAAATGACTATCAACCCTGGGCAGGGTGCATGACAAGACAAAGAGCTGCTAGTCTCCTGCTGTGCAGCCACCAAAAAAGTGTCTCCCCAACCCTAAGTTAAGCGCAGCTGGGTACCCAGGGCCTGCTGCCACCAGTGAGCTCAAGAGGGGAGCGAGACTGGGCAGGGAGTGCGTGGCAAAGGGAGATGTACCCTCGACATCCTACCTGCTGGTCTCCCTCCCTCCATCCTCACTCCCCTGGGGCCACCCCTATGGCTTCCCGTGCTGGGTACCTGGCCATTTCCCTCGCCCCCCTACTCACGTCCCCCAGCCAACCCCCTAGAGACCGAGCTGAAGCTGCCCTTCCGCAGGGGTCCCCTTCCGACCAGGGTCCACCTCTGGTCACCCCCCAGCTCTAAATGTCAGGCAGGGCCTGTTCTTGAATTCATGTTCATTTGTTGCTTTGTAAACTGTCCCCATGTTCCTGTCTTGTCTTGAGGGGATTATACACCTGTAGAGGGCCGGCCGGGGTTCCGAGGGCAGGGGCGGGTCTTGTATTGGGGCTCCCGAGGCAGGAGCACGTTCTTACTGTCCTCTCCGCTGGGGTGCCAGTTGCTGTGGGGACTTGGGCTCCGCGGGAGGGTTGAGAGGGTTAGGCGCCCGCCTCCGGCCAGGCCTCCTTATCTGGCTCTGACCCCAGGCTCTGTTTCCCATTCCCTGCAGATGTGACAAGCCCAGGCGGTGAGCCAGGCTGGAGGAAGGAGCCTCCCTCAGGGTTTCGGGAACCAGACCTCTCACCGGGAAAGACTGATACCGAACGACCGAACTGAAAACACGCCGCTGTCGCTGCCGCCGCCGCCGCTGCCGCTGCCGCCGCCGCCGCCGCCACCACCACACCATCACCATCGCCATCGCCAGAACAACCCTTAATCCAGAAACCTGAAATGAAGGAAGAGGAGACTGCGCAGAGCACTTTGGGTCCGGAAATGGAGACTCCGGCAGAAGCATTCCCCGGGCGGGTGACCAAGCATGGTCCCTCTTGGAATTGGATTGCCATTTTATTTTTCTTGCTGCTAAATCACCGAGCCCGGAAGATTAGAAAGTTTTATTTCTGGGATTCCTGTAGACACACCCACCCACATACATACGTTTATATATATATATTATATATATATAAAAATAAATATATATATTATATTTATATAAATATATATATATATTCTTTTTTTAAATTAACATTGTAATGTTATTGGTGTCTTCACTGGATGTATTTGACTGCTGTGGACTGAGATGGGAGGAAAATGTCCTTACCCAGATCCAGACAGGGAAGAGGCCAGGAGGAGAGACTTTGGGGTGATCCTTTTCCTTCTGTAGGGAGAGGCCAGGTCCTCTCCCCTGCCCAGGAAAGTGTGAGGCCAGGGCACGGGGGCATACTTGGCCTGCTTTTGGGCACACCGACAAACCCAGCCCTGGCTCTGAGCCTCTACTCTGACTCAAGCGGACAGAAAGACAGATGAAAGGTACAGGGAAGAGGATGTTGACTCTGACCAGGGATTTGGGGAGCTTCGGGACATTGCTGTGCTTTGGGGATCCCTTCCACATGCTGCACAGGCCTTCTGCTCGCAGGGGTACAGCCTGGAAGATTCAGGAGCCGGAACAGCCTGTGCCTACACACCTGCTTCCAAGATGCCCACGACGCTTCTGACAGATGTAGCGGAGAGAAGAGACATTGGCGGAAGCACCTCCTGCCTCCCCCCCCCCCCACGCCCCTTCCCGGCGTGCAGCTCAGAGGCCCTGATGTCCTCAGACCATTGAAACCACTACTTGTGTCCCTAGGGACCTGGCTGTGTGTGTGTGAGTGGTGACCCTCCTCTGCCCCAACCCGACCCTTCCCGCGGCACCCAGAGATAGGGCAGGATTCATGTGCCTGTCATGGAGGCAGAGAAAAGAGAAAGTGTTTTATATACGGTACTTATTTAATATCCCTTTTTAATTAGAAATTAAAACAGTTAATTTAATTAAAGAGTAGGGTTTTTTTCAGTATTCTTGGTTAATATTTAATTTCAACTATTTATGAAATGTATCTTTCTCTTGCTCTCTTATTTGTACTGGTCTTGTGTATGAAATTCATGTTTCCAATTTCTCCTGATCAGTGACAGCTTGTCCTGAAACGTATTTAATTTTGCTAACACTAAACTCTGCCCTCCCCTTACCCCTGACTCCCCACCACACATTCCTTTGAAATTAGGTTTCAATATACATCTACATACTATATATATATTTGGCAACTTATGTTTGTATATATATATATATATATATAATATATATATATGTTTATGTATATATGTGATTCTGATAAAATAGACATTGCTATTCTGTTTTTTATATGTAAAAACGACAATAGAGAATTCTACATACTAAATCTCTCTCCTTTTTTAATTTTAATATTTGTTATCATTTATTTATTGGTGCTACTGTTTATCCATAATTGTGGGGGGAAAAGATTAACACTACATTTTGTTTTAGTGCAGTTTTTCAAGATATTCTGTAGTACATATTTATTTTTAAACAACGGCAAAGAAATACAGATATATCTTAAAAAAAGCATTTTGTATTAAAGAATTTAATTCTGATCTCAAAGCTCCTCCTGGTTTCTCCTTCTCCATTGAATCCTTGCTCCAGGCTTCCTCCTGCCCCCTTCCCCTCCTCCCTTGGGGAGTGTGGCATTTATCTTAGGTCTAGGGAAGGGGTCCCAGTCCCTGTCTGCACTAGGGGCCAGAGGCCCTCCATTCTGGCTGGCGAGTCCTAGGGGAACTCATGACCCTCTGGCAGGGGGTCGAAGGGGGAGGCGGAGGTCCAGGAAGTGGGGGAGAAGGCAACAGAGCCTGAGACAGGAGCCAAGGGCTTTGGGTAACTTGTGCTGCCTTCAGGCATCACGCGATCCAGGCCCTCTCCCTGAGTCAAGGAGGGAGCTGTCCATGTGTCTGAGCTTGCTGCACAGGGGACAGGAGTGGGCTGAGTTTGGTTAAGGACCTTGTTACCAGCAAGAGGCTGGAGTAGGAGGTGGCTGCTCATGGGGCCAGCGGCCCTGGGCTCTTACTTAATTTTGCATAGTGAGAGTTCCCTGAGCTTCTGATGGGCCCACAGCTCTGGCTGCCACTGAGGTGACTCCCTGCCCTGCACCACTGAGGGGACTCCCTGCCCTGCACGCTGCACAGGCCCTTCTTCCCTGCGGCCAGGGAGAAGGTGGAAGCTAGGCCGGTGTCTCTGGACAGTATTGGACAATGCATCAAAATCCACCACTAGTATTCTCTTTTGTCCCTTCAAATCCTATTTATTATGCCAGTCATCGCGCTAGGGCAGAGTACTGTTAGGAGCGGACTCAGTCTACCCCTTAAGGATCTGGTCAGGAGACATAGAACTATAAACCCACATCTAGAAAAGTAACAAGCACAGCTTTGCATCTGATCCAGCTTTGCATCTGATCCAGCTTCAGGCTAGGGGCTAGATTGGGGGTGGCAGAGACTGGGAGTCTTCTCTAGGCTGCCCCTTGAAAAATGGGGAAGACAGAATGGGGAGGGAAGGGCAAAGGGGGTGAAACCAACATTCAGGCAGGTGGAAGGGATAGTGTGAGCAAAAGTATGGAGGGGGGACTCATTCAGGAGTGGGTGGGTGCCGATGGAAGCTGGAGAGAAGCAGGGCCCGCTCCTGGGGAACCTGCGGCCCTGCACCGAAAGCCTACCACCTGGCAGATTGAGTGGCAGCTCATTCTCTGGAATCCCCACAACCCTGAGGAAGGGGCTCTTGTCATCCTACATGGGTATATGCCAGAACCTCTAAACCGATCTCCCGCATTATACCCTCTTACAACGCCGCATAGAGCCTGTTAAAATATGAGTCAACTCATGTCACTTTTTGGTTCAAAACCCCGTGGGGCCTTTTTCACTCACAGAAAAAGTCACAGGGGGAAAAAAAAATCCTTAAATGGCTTTCAAACACCCCACACTGCCTGGGCCTCCTCTACCTCCCTGACGCCACGACTCTGCCCACCTGCTTCCCTTTCCTCAAACAGCAGGCTCACTCCCTCCTCAGCCGGTCTCCTGGCTGGCCCTTCTCCCTGCTGCCATGGCATGTATGACTGTTACTTTCAAGTCTTCTTACCTCAGTGAGACCCCTCCTTTGACCCCACCCTCTGGACCCCTATCCTGGATGCAGGGTTCCCTTTTTCACCATCTTTCCCCTGCAGCTCACACCATCTCAAATGCTCTAGTAGAGCTATTTCATGAGCTACATGAAAAATTTTCTAGTAGCCAGATTTTATTTTATTTATTTGTTTGTGTTTTAAATATTTATTTTTATTTGTGCATACAGAGCTGGGGTGCAGGCCAGAGGGGCAGGGGTGGTGAGAGGATTCACCAGAGACAGAGAGGGGTGCAGAACAGGCAGACTGACAAAGTACACTGCTGAGGGGAGCAGCGGGTGAGACAGGAAAGGTCTGCTGTGCCATGTGGGTCACCTTCGGGGCGGGGATTGAATTCGTGGGGAAGCGCCTGTGGCCGCTTCTTCGCAGTGCTGGGCTTTAACCCACTGCACCAGCAGGGAGGGCCCAGTAGCCAGATTTTAAAAAGTAAAGAGAAATGGGTGCCATGAATTTGAATAGTATATTTGTCTGACCGAAAATAGGATTCTGTTATGCTAGAAACATTGTTAAGGAGAGATTTTACTTTTTGTTGTTATTGTTCTAAATCTTTGAGTTTGAGATGGATTTTGTTCTTATCTCAGCTGAGACAGCCCTTGAGCATTTCAAGGGCTCAGTATGCATGTGCTAATATGCATCCCACTTTTGTCTGTTTCTCTCCTCCTGCTAGAATGAAAGTAAGGTGGGGCAGAGATTTGGGTCTGTCTTATTCAGAGCATCTCCAGCTCCTAGAACAGTGCCTGAAACACAGCAAGTACATGGCTCAGTGAACATTTGTTAAATGACAGACACTGTTGAGACAGGGGTTTGTAATGGATGGCTTCATCCCCCGCGTGCAAAGTGAGTGCTGGCCCAGATGGGAGTGGTCCGTGGGGGGCTTCTGACAATGGGGACTTGAGCAAGTCTGGACAAGGAGACTGAAACTCAGAGCCAGTGGTAGGAATTAGGGACAGAGGCTTCTCTGTGGGTGCCAGGCACTGTCTCCTCCTTTCAGCTACTGTGGAGGTGGGCTCATTTATTTCTGCTTGGCAGTTGAGAAGCAAGGGAGCAAGGGCTCAGAGAAAGTAAATAATTTGCCCAAATTTATGTAAATGACCAAGCCAGAATTTAAACCATCTTTCCTGACTCCAATTCTAGTGCTCTTTCCACCACACCATGGTTGCCCTAGGCTAGGGCAGAGCATCAACAAATAAAATGAATAGTCTAGACTGAATACAAACAGGCAGAAGAAAAGTGGGACAGGGGGAGGATGTGCTGGTGGCCAAATCCAGGGCTGAAATCCAGACTTCCCCAAGTGTGGTAAGGCAAGGCAAGGCAAGAGATGTCTCTAGGGGCTGGGGCTTGTCAGTGGAAGATCCGAAACCTAAGCATGAAGGAGATTGCAACACGCAGCCTTGGGAGAGAGCAATAGTCTTTAAATAGATCATGGAGAAAAGAAGGATAAAATGAACGTGCTACATCCCCTCCCCCCCCATTGTATAAGAACTGCCACTACCTCCTTCCCACCCCAAGTCTTCTCAAAAGCTCTTTTGAGGCCTGGGGTGAAGATCCAATCAAAGCCTGACACCTCTGTGATCAGTCCTGCCACGCTGGCCCAGCTCATCTCTTGGCGGGGCTCACTCTGCCCGCTCTGGTCTGGAACTGTCTTCCCTGGGATACACAGAGCATCGTCTCCACGGCTCGGCCCAGGCTGAGCCTCTTTCCCTTTTTCCTATCTGGCTGCAGCCTTCAAAGCCTTTTGGGGTACTTGGTTCTCCAAGGAAGCTGCCACACCACTCTCCTCCTTCCTGCAAGGGGACAAGGGGGTTGCTGGTACAAACCTGGATGATTCTGGGTCCGTTTCATGTGTTAGCACCATTGTTGGGGGTTGTGTGTCATCTGGCTGCCCACGGTTCTTCATGCCCCTGTCAGCGTACCACCCTCCATTCAGAAGAGGCAGCTTTTCCTCCTTTAAATCTGAGCTGCCTCTGACTTGCTTTGACAGAGAACGTAGCAGAAGAGATGTTCTGGGACTTTCAGGCCTAGCACCAAAGCAAAATTTCTGTTTTTGCCCTCAAGGAAGGCAGCTGCCATGCTGTAAGGAAGTTCAACTTCCCTGCTGGAGAGAGAGGCCTGGTAGAGAGAAAGGAGAGGCTCAGTTGCCCTCAGCTGTTCCAGTCACCACGAGCTGAAGCACCAGACTTATGTGTGAGGTGGATTGGTCAATGCTATGAAGTTCTGAGGAGAAGTTTGAAGTTTTAGGGAGAAGGTTGGTATCCAGCAATCATAACTGAACCACCCAAGTAAATGGTCACTTCCTTGGGGCTAGGACCTTTGTCTCTTTCCACCTAGAAGGTTTTACTGGTGTGCAGGGACTGGAGGGAGGTTTAAGGAAGGAAAGTCATGGGACTTATACATAGTCAGAGACCAGCCTCTGCCCCCGTGGGAAGTCTAATGGGAAGACTCAGAGCAAGCGCTAGTCCAAGTATCGTCAAAATTTCTAGAACGAGGAGAACCACTCATTCCCACTGACTTCTCACCATGAAACAGAAGCCTCACGTACAGCATGAGAGGGAGAGGCTGGAGGGGGAGAAGAGAGAGAGAGAGAGCGAGAGAGCACAGGGTGTGTGGAAGAAAAGACAGAGGAGTCTTTTCCTTCCATTCCTCCCTTGCTTCCAACCTGTCCTCCAGCACACACTGAACACCAGCCCTGGAATAGGGTGGCCCTTCATGGCAACCAGGGGAACCTTCATACACCAGCCTAGAAGTAGGGGCTAGACACCATGACCCTTGCGAGGCCCTACAGGTTGGCCTCCGAGTTGTTGGAGGGAGATGTTCAGCCACATCCAGTGGATGTTACCCACCGGGACACGGGGGTGGGGAAGGGGAGGGGGCAGTCTGTCTGGAGAGGGAGGATGCAAGGCAAAGATGGGGCCAAGCTCAGTATCTGCAGAGTGGTGGAAGGACTCAGAAGGGGTAAGAGCTAGTGTCGAGAGGAGCAGGGAGTTGAAGGGAAAGGAATCCCCGGGCACAGGTGTCCCTGGGAGAAGGCTGGGCCTAAGTCTTCTGGATGAGAGAGGTTGTGTCTGCCCTTGAGCTAGTCTGCTCATGTGGAACATATAAGTGGTGTCCTCAGGGAGCTCCCGGTCTGAGGGTGCTCCCCAGCCTCATGGAATTCCTGTTTGAGGGAGGAGACAGAGCCCCTGCCACCAGACATGTCTTTGTCGATTAAGGTGGATACCCCTTCTTGGCAAGGCCCCTCTTGCCTTTATTTGGTTGTAAGTGTTTGCAGTCACTGGATGACGAGCCCTTTCAAGGCCTCTGACCCCCCCCTTCCTTCTTCTCCCCTACACACCCACAGTGCCCACAGGGCTCCTCTACATTTGCTATGAGCTGTGTGCAGGTCACCAGTCTGGGCTCTG